CCCCCCCCCCTATAAAGATACATGTACATGTCCCTGGTGGCTGTCACTGTTACCTTTCCTTCAGCCTTCACCTGTTTCCCCCAGGCAGACATCACAAAAGGGTCATTGACAGCTACACAGCAGATAAGGTCATAGCCTTCATTCTGGAAAACGAGCAGTAAAACCTGGTAATGTGTGAAAACTTGGTTACACTGAAGCAACATTGAGATGTATGTATACACATCGATGTAATGAAATGTCTGAGTTATTTGAATATCTAAATATTAAATCAGCTTGGGATCTATATGGCTCAAGTCATGCCAGGTTCCTGTGAAATCACTTACTATTCGTGGGTTTCTTTATTTTGTTGATTTCGCGGGTAACTTTCATCCACGAATTCGTGTACGCACAACATGGTGTTTTATTGAGAAACCATGAAATTTGGACACCTTGAAATGATCTGATTTCAAAGTAATTAAATTTACATCTTAGGTACATGTATGCATGTTAAAACATCATTTTCCAATATAAAGTAACCGTTTGTGATATAATAGGAAATATGTGCTTGCTTAATCTGATATGTATTTATATGCTTTATGCTTATGATATATTCTTATGTTATAATTATTACTGTTCCTGCTCTTCAACATGCATGTGCTATCATCAAACTGTTTTCTAATTATTTTTATAATTTGTATGTATATAGACCAAATTTTGTTGCATAATCCTACTCTTTCTTCTAGCATGCTTTTTACCTTGTTATTACTTTGTTTTTATACTTATGTTTGTCGTAAAAATAGCTCCACAGAGCCAATGTTTCAATGATATGCCATAAATATACGACAGTAAATAAAGCTTCTTGAATCTTGTATCTTGTAATCATACAAACTTTAAATTTTTCATAGTGGTCCAGGTAATCAGGGAGATGAACCTGGAAAACAAGACAATCAATAACCATATTAGCAAGACATAACTGGTGGAATCAAAAAATCTTTACCTACCAACAAGGTATTTTTTTCAGACATTTTACTTGAAACAAACATGACACATGGTTTTTTTTGGCCTGATTACAGTAACCTACGCTACATGGTATTTTCCTTTAGCTGAAATAAGCTCAATTAGAGAAAATGCAACAGACTCATAGAAACTGGGGGTTGCTGGTTAGATCCCCGGTTGAAGCATATTCTCCTTTTAATTTCCTTTTAAAATTTTATATCTAAAGTGTCTTTTACCCAAACTGCAATACAGCTTCGTCTATACTATTGGATTGGTTTCTTTTATCTATTATCTTTAATTAAATCGTACCTCTGTACAGCCAGGAGTGAAGGCGCCCACCACAGAAAATAGTACTCCTCTTTTCCCTTTGAACAAGTCTAGGATGTTAACAGTATCCTTAGGTGATTCTTCGTAAAGGTTTACTGACGGAAGTTCATTTCCAATCTACAATGGAAGAAAACATATATTTCCCAACGGGTAATGGTAATAGTCGTCATATTGATCTAACTCGATTTTTTTTAACTTTTAAATAGTAAGTTACTCGTCAAAACTGGTGACACTGATCATGACCACGGGGGCTTGTATAAACCACGGAATTAGATTAGCTAAGTCCGTGTATAGACTAACATTTATATGATAAAATTAGCTTGAAATACCTATATATAAAGTCTTTATATATAGGTATTTCAAGCTAATTTTATCATATTCATGTCTATACAAGCCCCTGTGCACTGACAGGAGTGTCGTCCATTATGTATATGTGATACCTATATTGTCACGGAATTCGGAAGTGTGCTATTGTTTTGACAGACAACGTCCTACCTTTAGTGTTCTTTTTTGCCCAGTTACAAATCCAACTAATAGGTGTCTTTTTAGTAGGTTGCCTTTGTTCAGAACACAACGTGCAGCCAAAGACATCGTGCATTAAGCACCTTATTGATCTTGATTGTCCGATGAAACGCTTAACTTTCACTTTCTAAAAATAGAACTTAGAAACCTAGCATTCGGACATTTACACGTTCTTCATCTTTTTATTATGATGATTATTGACATTCGTTATAACTGTCAGGGACGTAACATCGATTTACCCAAAATATTCGTCGATTTACCCAATACAACCCAATATAACTCAATAGTACCCAATACAGAAAGTAAACGCCGAATACAACTGATATACCAAATATGTAAATGTATTTTCAAGTTAATTATCACGGGAATGAATTAAACGTTGTTATATTGGAAAAAAACCTATAGCAAGATATATTTCAATATTAATGAAGTAAATTATCACGGGAATGATGTACAATAATTCGGAAGGAAATCAATGCCATTATGGTCAGGTGTGAAACTGGTTCAGATCACACGTCGCCAAAGCCATACCTTATAAATACATGTCAATCCGTAGAAATAGGAAGATGGTTAGGTATTCCTCGTCAAGACAGAACCTGTACATTATGTAATTCCGACATTGGAGATGAATTTCATTACTTATTTAAATGTGAAAGTGATTTAGTTAAATGTCTAAGAGAGAGAAATAGATACCAAAATATTATTTTACTTATTTAAGTCAAATAAAAATGCAAGGATTGTTTAATATATTTAATGTAAAAAATTACACAAAAGATTCCTAGAAAAGTTTGACAAAGTATTAACCTAATTTCTGTACAAGGTTGAGCTCCTTCTCTATGTAACTATGCTATAGTCAATTATCATTATTTGCAAAAGATGTTGTTATTTTGTACTAATCATCACACGCCATGTATCATATGTACTATATGTATGTGACCTCTTGTCACACACGTAAGTATGTCGGAGTGAATGAATAAAACTTGAAATTGGGTAAATCAAAACTTGTATTTGGTAGTATTAGGTAGATCGACACTTGCATTGGGTAGTATTGGGTTGTATATGGTAAATCGACGGCCGATTGTTATATATCTCCAGCAACGTGCCAGACGTATTGCCGATTTCCCCAAGATTTATTCTATAGTTCACGCATTTACGTCGTTTTCATTAGAAAAAAGTCGATAAAACGTCAGAATAATTCAGACTACGCTTCTAATAGACAGACAATCTTTTTATTTCCATGAAAAAAATAACATCGTACATACAATATGTTTATTAACCCTAGCCCCGATTAATATATGTATCTTACATTTTATTGTACCACCCGGTATATCATATTCGGGGAGTAAAGTGTTTTTTTATGGTTTCAGACAAAATAAGATTTAAATCCCCTCGCACTTACTAAAGGAGTAGAATTTTTGGAGATTGACCTTTATTTCCTATTTGGCCCGCCCCTCTAGCCGCACACAGGAAGGCAAACTTACACTTGCCCAATGCTACCTTCATATATACGCTCTGTTCTTGCACCATTTTAGCGGAAAATTTGACGCCGGATTGACGACGGACGCTTCACGACGACTCGAAAAGGCATACAAATAACATTTTGTAACACATGCATAACCTAGCCTACCTTCTTTGCTCCCGATATCTCTATTTTATCACTGCACGTTCATCTTTTAGCATTATCAGACGAAATTGCGTTCATAGAGCTATGAATGCAATTTGATCAGCGTCTTTCCGAAGCTTGTCCTTCCGCCTCGATTAATATGAGACAACCTTTTGAAACAAACATTTTGGCTACGTTAAAATATTTTGTTCCAGGAATCTTGTTTGTACAAAAAGGAATCTCTATATTTAGGTCAATAATATTGTAAAAATAAGGAACGAACGGCATATCTTTTCAATGTTCATGTCGTATAAACGCAAATCGGTTACATAGATATTCACAATACTATAGGGCTTCATATGGAATATGTTCATGCAACCGATTGAAGTTCATACCAGCATGATATTGGGGGAGGTTGGGGGG